CACAGAAATTTTTCTTCTTTCTTCAACCCTTTTGAATCTATCCCTATTTTATTTTCAATGTTGTTCTAAGCCATTTATTTTTGAATGCTTTTAATTTTCGTCTCATGTCTTTAATGGTTTAACTGAATGTTTAATGTTTAATTAAGAATCGACATCACAGCACTAGGGATGTGGGTGGGGTGGAGTATTCTTCCACTAATGCGGAGCTGGAACCCACCGGGAAACTTGAAAATACCAATTATTTTTTAAGATGTATAAATAAATATCCGTCTATGGTGGTGCTGGTGATGATAACCACGGATAAATGTTTTAAATGCGCAATTCATCGCTGTATCCTTCTAATTCTGAATTTGTCTTGCGTTGGTTTTGACAGTGGTACAGAGAACTGACCGTTTAGTAAGCAATGGCAAACTACTGAACGTAACATTTGCCTAGAAAAACCATAACAGCCAAAAAATGCTGGGGTTGGTTCTGCAACGCCCTGTAAAGGATACGCAACTAACTTTATCTTTTCAGAAAAACACTGCAGTGAAGACCTTGGTGCTCAGTCACAATGAGTTCAGAGAGCACGGTGGGATAGTCATCGGGCAGGCTCTGGGTAAGATTCTAGGAAACAAAGAACGAATACCAGGTCACGATTTCATAGTTTCTTTCGTTTCTTTCAGCCAGAGAGAGCGAGAGAGAGAGAGAGAGAGAGAGAGAGAGAGAGAGAGAGAGAGAGAGAGAGAGAGAGGGAAGGAAGAAAGAGAGAGAAAAAGTGAAAGAGAGAGAGAGAGTGAGTGAAAGAGAGAGAGAGAGAGAGAGAGAGAGAGAGAAAGAGAGAGAGAACGAATACACGAATAAACTTTTTCTTTCAAAGGGTTACATCTTGGGGACGCAGGCCCGTTTGACATTCGATCCTTCTAGGCACTCATCTTTCACTAGGCACTCATCTTTCAGAGTACCAATGCCTGTTATCAATAATGCATGTTATGTTTATGTAAAAAAACAAAAACATACATTATCGAATGTAGACTAGAACAGGAGAGAGAGAGAGAGAGAGAGAGAGAGAGAGAGAGAGAGAGAGAGAGAGAGAGAGAGAGAGAGAGAGAGAGAGAGAGAGAGAGAGAGAGAGAGAGGATTAAAAGTTTGTTTTCGTTTTCTCTAAGCTCAAGAGAATGAATGTTTGCTGTAACGTTCGACTTGTTGAGTCAGCAACTGTTTATCTGGCTCTTCAGAACTAGAGAACAACTGCTTTGCAATATTTGCTCTCTCCACTCACGGAAACAATTAGAGCCAATTGCAGGGACTTGTTAACGGGTGCCGCGGTAGAGAAGACATAAAATGGTACGACAATATCACTGTGACGGGTACGGAGAGAACTAGACAAATTCAAGCCAATTACACAAAATAAAGATGCCGAAGCAGGTTCGGGAATACACTAAATAGACATTGATAGATAAAAAGCACATTTTCGCAATTAATATACTCGGTTCAAAGCCAGACAACCGACCTTTCAGGGTTAATTTCGTTTCATAACTGCATGAACCCAGAAAGGAAAGTCGCAAAAATGGGAATACTGATTTCAAATAACAATGAATATCAAGAATAAACAAAGCAAGCCAAACAATTCCCATGCTTAACAATACATGGTGTGAAAAAAATCTAGTTTCATAGTTTGAATACTCAACATTTCGAGAGTGCTATTATACAGCGTTGAGCACTGGAAAATGACAAGGGGTATGACATATACACTAATGACATTTCAATATAGACATAAAGGAATATTGTGTAAATATTCCATACAGATCAAAAATGAAGAATTTTAGAGAAAAAATAAGTCACCATCATTGGCCAACGTTATTAAAGGAAAAAGATGCAGATAGCTTGAATATTTGTGTAACATTTCTCGAAATTTGACACACACAAAAAAAAGGGGGGGGGGGGGGGGGGGGGGAGGGTTACAAAGTGGAGACAAGGACATAATAAGGAGACCAGAAGAACATTAAAAAGGGAAACAGAGTGTAAGTGACACGAGATACCATAAACAGAAATAAGATCAGTAGACCGGCAAAAGCGTAGATCTTTTGTGAATGTCTGATGTGTCAACAATAACATGAAGAGGGTTTAGACAGATAGATGAGTATTTTCCCTTGATCTTTTCCCTTCTCCTGGAATGCCTTGCAGCGTCCAGTCAGGAAAAAATTTCTTCAACGGGCCTTTTTGTTCGCTTCGTATATAACACATTTCAATGTCTCAGTTATTTTTGTAGTCGATCTTATGCGTACTTGACCTCTAACTTTATTTACTGCTGTCTTTGTATAATATTGCCTTATGTTGTGCCTTTTCTGTTGTTTTGTTACATGGAAAAGCCGTCTGATCAGTTTTCTATCATAATAGTGAGATGTCTTCTTTTTTGACTGACTGACTGACTTTCTACCCCACCAGGACATCACACAAGCGACAAACACCCGATGACACAATGTGCCACCATGTGGGTGAGGATCACCGTGGAGAGGTTCCCGAAACCGCGTTCAGCCTTTAGGCCACATTTATGGCCAGGCTATATTGCGGCCCCTGGCAAGAGCCAGACTAGGGCTTTAAATAACGAAAAATTTCGTCTTAAGAAGGACGAGAAGTATGAAGTATATATAGTCTTCTTTGTTGTTTGCGAGCAATAAATAAACTACTGTCTGCTGGACCAGTCACCCTGTTTATAAACTTCTAAGACTAGTTTAGAAAGAAATGATAAACTACTAAACGTGAAATTGCCAAGTAAAACCACACACACCAATAAATGGGTATTTGTAGACTTCGTGTGAAAATAGGTGCCTTACATTTATTATTAAGATAATTTACATTTAACTTTATCACATGGAAATGAATCCATGTTTTAACAGCCAGACACAATCTTCCTTTCTCCCTTTTTCTTCTCGTCACGGCTGCTACCTGTAAGGGTGACCACGCTAGATAACATAATCCCAGTCAGAATAACAAGCCAATAGGGTAAATACCTGATGCCCAGCTCAATCCACAAAGAAGTTGAAAACAGGGCATCCGTAACGCTATAGCAGTCTGGATCAGTCACCGAAGCCCTCCCTGTTCTGTTACGGGTATAACTGACTGACTGACTTCCTACCCCACCAGGACATCACACAAGCGATAAACACCCGATAACACAAAGTGCCACCACGTGGATGAGGATTGCCGTGGAGAGGTCCCAGAAACCGCGTTCAGACAATTGGCCATGTTTATGGCCTGCCTATATTGCTGCCCCTGGCAAAAGCCAGGGTGGGGCTTCAAATAACAAAAAATTTCGTCCTAAAAAGGAGGAAACACCTATTAGGAGCAGGGCAAATAATTATGGGTAAATACGACTGTTTGTAAATGTGTTTGTGTGTGTGTAAAAAGTGGGGGGGGGGGGGGCATGCCAAATAATTGTTGCCCAAATGTCCCACCCTACCTGCAGTTGGAATTTAATTTGTCTATTCCATCAGCTAAGAACATCAGTTTGGAGGACATTGACCTCAGTTGGAACCACCTCAGAAGATGTGGTGCTGTGGGAATTGCCAAAGGATTACAGGTCAGTATAGTAATATAAAAGTTGTCTCCCCTTGTCCATGGTATACTCAACTGAGTTCTCTTTCTGATATTCGCACTGATTGAGAACAGATTGCCCACATCAAAAGGAGACGATCTACATTCTTTGGTAAAATCACGCGAAGGAGAAAACTGGACTACATTGTTGTCGGGGGTGGGGGATGGTGGTTGGGAATTGAAGGGGGAAAGAAGCAGAGGGAGACCGAGAGACAAGATGCTGGACAGTTAAACGTCCTGATATTAAAGATCATATGTGTCAGAACTTGTTAAAAGATATTAATATACTTCCCGTCCTTTTCAGGATAAATTTTTTCGTTGTTTGAGGCCCTACTCTGGCTTTTTCCAGGGGCCGCAATATAGCCTGGCCATAAATATGTCCTAAAGCCTGAACGCGGTTTCTGGGACCTTTCCACCATGATCCTCACACACATGGTGGCACTTTGTGTCATTGGGTGTTTATCATTTGTGTGATTTCCTGGTGTAGTAGAAAGTCAGTTATTGAAAGTACACAGACAGAAAGTTTTTGAAAGGCATGATTACCATCGCTACAAGCCATGGACTCTAAGAAGAATAAAACTTACAATGCCTATTTACTAGCTCATCGTCATCCTCCTCCTCCACATAATCATTATCATCATCATCGTCGTTGTAGTCATCGTCATCGCCATGATAGAATATCTTAGTATATCCAACTTTTCCCTATTTCAAACATATATACGGCCTCCCCCCCCCCCCCCAACCCCCTGTCCATAGTATATGTAACTTTTTTCATTCAAAACACCCAGAACTCTCATTTACCTCAGCCATAGTATATCTAAACTGTCCTCCTTGCAGACATGCATTACTTATTTTCACCTCACATAGTATATCCAACTGTTCCCCTTTCTAGACACTCAAATTACTAATTTTCCTTATCAATAAGTGAGTAAAATAAAAGTAAAGGTACCTCTTCCACGCCTTTAGGTGTATTGTGTATACTGGGCTAGACATATATTTTTATAGACCATTTGGAACTTCGTGGGTGATGTAATCAGCATCACACCGGCTGCTTTTACTTCCCAGGACTGCACCTGGTACCCATTTAAGTCTGTGTCGACCTGGGAGTCAAAGTCACATTTAAAATAAGTCCGGCTCGGTCAGGACACGAACCCACGACCTTCCCGATCCGCAGCCGGGCGTCTGGCCACTAACGCCACGGCGACTCCCTTCCTTATTCATAGCATGACAAAATTTTCCCTTATCTCAGACATTTAAATGACTCTATTTGCAAAGCATTTATTCTACTCATTTTACTTGTTTATGCTATCTTCAGCTTACACCCTTACACATGTCATTCCATCTTTTAGACGAACAGGTCACTGCGGTCTGTCAATATCGGCTGGAACGGATTCGCCTTTGAAGGCTGTGTGGCCGTCGGTGACATGCTGGGTTTCAACACGTGTATCACTGAACTAGACCTCTCCTGCAACCGAATAAACCCCCCAGCACTACTTGAGCTTCTCAGAGGTGTGGTCTCCAACAGATCTTTGGTCATCCTCAAGGTAATTGTTCTCGTTATAATCGTCTTCAAAATACCAAAGACGATCATGGCTTTCGCCTGCTTGTTTAACCTATGCTAGGATACTTCTACGGATGATCTTTAATGTGGTTGTCAACTTCCCAGCACGTGACAGCAGGGTAAACCAAGGTAGTGAGGTTTGTAGCTGAATCACATGCCTTAATTGAATTTTCTTTAGAGAATGAACTAGTGAGCTTGGATTTTCTGTGTTCTTTGCCATCCAAGAATTTTCTTGTAGCATTTAATTCAGTGGAACGAAAGTTCACAGTAAGAGAAACTATGGTCTTGCCACTCCTTATTTCCAAAGAGAACAGTGGGTGCAGTGCAGCCATCCTTCATAAACCGGGACGTTTACTGACTGTCTGAGAATTATATCATTATCAAGTGCCTTGCCGTCTGGTGTGGGGGATCATACCTGTCTATATGCGATCCTAGTCAGGATGCATCAGTTCTTGTGCTGACACCCCGTAGTGCCATGTAAAAGGCTATCAAAATTCGTAATGATTCTAAGCCATACGTTAAAACAAGCTGTGTTTAACATGCATGAACATAAACCTTCTATAAAACTGAAACAAAAGAAATTATTATCTAGAGGAGAATGATAATAGAAGTAGCTAGAGAAAGAGATGAGAAGAACAGACAAGAAAAATCACTTTCTAACTTCAAGACAGGATAGGAAGGAAAGAAAAAGCCAGATCTTGCAGGATAGAGACCCCAGCAGGTATCTGGAGCCCAAGCAATGGTAGGCAGAATGTTTCACTACAGACACTAAGACTACACTAATGCTAACTGAAACCACTACCAGTTATTTAATTCACCATAAAACAGGGAAGTACAACTCTGCCACCTCTTTTATTGTATAAAAGTCAAAAAGTGCTACAAACAACACTGTAAATGCAATACATGAATGCCACATTAATGAGATCAAATGATGAACCTTTAAGGACAGGTGTAAGTAATCAAACAAAGTAACTGTTCAACAAAAACCTCAGTAACCAAGAGTCAGTTACTAGTCTTAACAAACTATCTCATAGGCCAACTAACAAATATAACCCTAACATAAAACAGCTAACAGATGTAATCTTAATATTAAAGCCTAACATAAAAGCTTAACATAAAACTCTGACATTAAAAACCTAACATAAAAACCTAACAAAAAAGCCTAAGATCAAAAGCTTTAAATAAAAGCTAACATTAAAGTCTAATGGTAACAACCTAACATTAATAACGTAACATGAAAGCCTAACACTAAAAGCCTAACATTAAAAACCTAACATAAAAACCTAACATAAAAACATAACATAAAAGCCTAATATGAAACAGAACGGCTGTAGAAATAGCTCCTAACTACCGCGCAAGACTCGTCACAACGCACTTTTCACTTAGACCTAGTGTAGTTTTAAAGCCCTGGGTACAAACAGGCTATTTTCGTGGGCGCACCAGCTCAAAAATTGGGCCAGCTGAAATACTGGGCCTTGAAGCTATGGCCGGGGTGTCTGTGAAATATTCGGACCAAAAATTTACGAAACAGTCCTAACTTCCTAATAATTTAATTTCTTAACCACTGATTGCAAACAACTGGTTCAAAACAAACACCATGATAGATTTCTCCGATGTGTTCTGACATCAGCCTAGGCTGATAAATAAATGACAGACTGACAGACCGACCGACAGCCCGACCGACCGATCGACAGACAGACAGACAGACAGACAGACAGACAGACAGACAGACAGACAGACAGACAGACAGACAGACAGACAGACAGACAGACAGATAGACAGATAGATAGATAGATAGAAAGATAGATAGATAGATAGATAGATAGATAGATAGATAGATAGATAGATAGATAGATAGATAGATAGATAGATAGATAGATAGATAGATAGATAGATAGATAGATAGATAGATAGATAGATAGATAGATAGATAGATAGACAGATAGATCGATAGATAGATAGATAGATAGATAGATAGATAGATAGATAGGATAGATAGATAGATAGATAGATAGATAGATAGATAGATAGATAGATAGATAGATCGATAGATAGATAGATCGATAGATAGATAGATAGATAGATAGATAGATAGATAGATAGATAGATAGATAGATAGATAGATAGATAGATAGATAGATAGATAGATAGATAGATAGATAGATAGATAGATAGATAGAAAGATAGATAGATAGATAGATAGATAGATAGATAGATAGATAGATAGACAGACAGATAGATAGATAGATAGATAGATAGATAGATAGATAGATAGATAGATAGATAGATAGATAGATAGATAGATAGATAGATAGATAGATAGATAGATAGATAGATAGATAGATAGATAGATAGATAGATAGATAGATAGATAGATAGATAGATAGATAGATAGACACATAGATAGATAGACACATAGATAGATAGATAGATAGATAGATAGATAGATAGATAGATAGATAGATAGATAGATAGATAGATAGATAGATAGATAGATAGATAGATAGATAGATAGATAGATAGATAGATAGATAGATAGATAGATAGATAGATAGATAGATAGATAGATAGATAGATAGATAGATAGATAGATAGATAGATAGATAGATAGATAGATAGATAGATAGATAGATAGATAGATAGATAGATAGATAGATAGATAGATAGATAGATAGATAGACACATAGATAGACCAATCGACAGTTTGACAGACAGATCGGACATAAAAAGTCTACTCATGTATGAGTCGTTGTTGAGTTAAATTTTTGTGAAGAAAACCGATTATACTACTTCTTTTTCTTTTGCATTTGCCCTTAGAAAAGCCGTTAAAGGCGTATTGCTTTGTGTTTACACATTAGCTGCCTAATGTCGACCTTTCAGCTCGACTATCCGATTTCAGCCAACCCCTAGTTAATCGCCTTTTATGACATGCTTGTTCGGGCGAGCAGCAGAGTTTTTCTTTTGTTCTATATCCAAAAATGGGACCATGGAAACCACTGGAAGAACACATGCTACTCTCTCTCTCTCTCTCTCTCTCTCTCTCTCTCTCTCTCTCTCTCTCTCTCTCTCTCTCTCTCTCTCTCCCTCTCTCTCTTTCTGGGGCGAGGCTTACCGATGATTCAGATTAGGTCGACCAATAAGTTTCATGTCAACATTTACCAGATCGGACACAATCCAATCACTGCAGCGTTTTCAAGTTTGATACTGGATGTGATAAGACGGCACAGATCAAGTGCCCTAGAGAATGTGGACATGGCGGTAAGGGTGACACTTTCTGCCTTGCTATGTATGTCTGTCTGTTAATCTAACTACGTAAATGATCTCCCGTCTGCTTATCTGTCTCTCTGTCTGTTGCCGATTCCCTGAGTTCTAGTCTACTCATGTGACTGCCTGTTGTAGGCTTCTGTGTATCAGTCTCTGCCTCTCTCTTGAACTATCTCTTTTCTCAGTCTCTTTCTCTCTCTTGAACTACCTCTTCTCTCAGCCTCCTCCTCTCTCTTACACTATCTCCTTTCTCAGTCTCTTCTTCTCTCTTACACTATCTCTTTTCTCAGTCTCTACCTCTCTCTTACACTGTCTTCTTTCACAGTCTCTTCCTCTCTCTCTCAAACTGTTTGATTTCTCAGTCTCTACCTGTCTTTTACACATCTCCTTTCTCAGTCTCTTCCTCTCTCTTGAACTATCTCCTTTCTCAGTCTCTACCTTTCTCTTACACTATCTCCGCTCTCAGCCTCTTTCTCTCTCTTGAACTATCTCCTTTCGCAGTCTCTGTATGTCTCTTGCACTATCTCCTTTCTCAGACCAATAGATAGATAGACTGAGAGACAGACAGTCACTAGACCAATCGACAGACTGACAGACCGGTCAGACAGAATAGCAGGCTGTCTGGCTGGCCGACAAACAAGCAGGAAACACAAAAGTACGATGGGTAAAGAATTTTTCTGACACAATTGTTCTACATCTGGTCGTCCTGTTAAGATGCCAGCAGCGGATCCGCGAGCGGGGGAGGAGATTAGACGAATGATGTTGAATGTGGAATGAAAATATGGGTTAGGAAACAGAGCAGGCAGTTCTTTGCAGCAGGTTTAGAAGAACATAAAACGATAGGACAAGTGCATACATGTTGGTGGAATTTATGTTGAAAAACAAAGGGACAGTGTAAGTGTAAAAATAAACTGTTAAAAATTTGTTATCGTATTTAGTTTTTTTTTTTTTTCAAACAACCATTTGTGACTTACTTATTGACTTACCCTCAAAACATTCCTACCATACAAACAATGACCATCTCTAGGGCGTGGTGGTCGACAGGGAATTCGTGCAGATTCTGGAAGAAATACAAACTGACCGCTTCCTTCTCGTCAACTACGAACTGTCCCTGCCGGTGAAGAAACTGTCCCGCGAGGAAATGAGGGAGAGGATCGGACTTCCGAGTGCATTCAACGTCGACCCTCTCCGAATGCTGTATTTACTTAAAGTAAGTATTCTATTTTTAGGAGCCTCTACAAATGTACCTCTTGTTCTTCGGATAAGTTTGATCTGAACCGTTTCAGTACCGCAAAACTGATTGTAAGTTTAATTGTCATTCCAAAAATTATATCAACTTATTGTTGTCTTCTGTTTATCATTATCTTGTACCGTGCCGGTAAACGTAGGTGTCACCTCCTATACACGATTACAAGCATCACGGATCAGTTCAATGTTCTTGTCTCGTTTCAGTCTTTGAAAATAAAGTTCGTTCGTTGGTTCGTTCATTTATCTGGCCATTTCATCTAGGCATTTATCTCTTTTTCTGTGTCTTTGTTTAGTACACAGATTTTACTAGACATGTTTATCTGAACTTTCAAATTCTACTACTTGTGTCCTGAAATGCCCTTGCTGAACCTTTGAGACCGAAGTATCTATTAATTTCAAGCTCCGTTTTTTGGAGTACTGATAGTTACAGTTGTAACTGCTTGGGAATTAACAAGATAACGTCCCCGTGAGGGTTTCGTTGCCCCATTTTTGTTGAGGACCTGTTGGTCCACAACAAGCAAGTCCTACAATCCGACTTATTATGTTTTTTTTTCTTTCTCAGAAAGGCATATAATCTACATAGGGAAAAGCCAGATCTGTGAAACCGATGTGCAGGCAAAACTAAGGTTCTAGAACAAGACCAAAGATTAAGGGTAAAAAGAAAAAAAACCTAGACATTCCGCCAGAATTTAAAGCCGGTGAAGGCGAAGAAAAGGATTAAGAGGAGGAGGAGGGGAAGTAGAAGAAAAAAAGAAGAAGAAAAAAAAAACGACGACAACAACAACAATAACAGCAGCAGCAGCATCAACATCAACAAGGATAACGACGAAATTAACAACAAGAAAAAGAAGCTATTAGCAATAATGTAATAGTAGTAGTAGTAGTAGTAGTAGTAGTAGTAGTAGTAGTAGTAGTAGTAGTAGTAGTAGTAGTAGTAGTAGTAGTAGTAGTAGTAGTAGTAGTAGTAGTAGTAGTAGTAGTAGTAGTAGCAGCAGCAGCAGTAATAGTAGTATTCGTTTTCGTCGTCGTAATTATCATTCCGGAAAGTGATGTGAATTCACTGCCCCCCAAAATCTTGCATCCTTTCCATTTCTCGGAGGGAGGGCATGAATAATATCAGCATGATCTATGGGTTGACCGTGCTCTTGTTATCCTGCCATGTCCACGTGGTCAAGCCATCCACGTAATTCTTTCTCTCCCCCCCCCCCCTAATACTTCTCTCTAGTTTTCAGTCCATTCCTTTCCATAAGGAAAGCCCCTGGCTTTTTCTAGGTGTGTGGTTTTTCTAGGCAAATTTACTTCCAGTAGTTTGCCATTGCTTCCTGGACGGTCAGCTTTCTTGATACCACTGTCGAATCCAACGCAAGGCGCATGACCCGCAGCTGGGATCGAACCCGCTATCCCGGCATTACGAAGCGTTCGCATCCACTTAGCCTCAGAGCTAACTTCCTTTTCATAACCTATCCAAAATACTAAATTTGGTTTCTCTAATCAGTTAACGGTTTTCCTCTGTCTTAATTGTATTTCTATCAATGCATGTCCACCATCTCAGTCTGGTTCATTAGAGAATATTAATTGTAATCGAAATGTCAGTTTATTAATCAAGCAACAGCTAGTTTACGAACAACAACAACAACAACAACTAAACAGCATTTACAAATTAAATGAAATTGCATTTTCTGAACTAAATATAACTCGTTTTTATCACGAAGCCACCTGGCAGTATGGTTGTATATTTATTTAAACCAATAACATTATAGTTTGTTTTATTATTAGGGAAATATTACTTAACGAATAAATGAGAATCTGCATCAAAAGTCAGGAAACACTGATCATCATCATCATCATAAAACACTTCTGTCAGCCACTAAGGGGCATGGGGAAGAATAATTTGTGATCCGGTGTTTACCGGCTGGCACTGGCTTTTGTTAGTCCGTGAAGGAGTTAGTGTCTTTCATGTCGTCTATGCATATTTTTCATGGCTGTTTTATGTTAAACTTTTTAAACTTACAAATCACTAGTTTTTTTTTTTTTTTTAGTCTGTAAACTTTGGTCAGGCCATTCAATCCCTATGTCGTTTATCAAGTGTTTAGTCAGTAAACACTAGTTACACCTCTAAACCACGTGTGTTTTATAATATATATATATATATATATATATATATATATATATATATATATATATATATAAGTATATAATGTGTAAATCAATAAATCACACGTTTCTTCTATCAGTAAATAAACATTAGTTATACCAATAAATCACAGGCTTCTAGTATCAGTCAATAAACATTATTCAACTAATAAATTACACTTTATCTTTTAAATAACCATTAGTATAATCAGCAAGTTTCATGTTTCTTTTATCAGTCTAGAGAATTTAGTTCAAATTATAAATTACACGTTTTTTTATCATCTAGTGAACATTTGTTGTGTTTACTTTCAGGAGTCCGGGATCCCAGTTACAGGGAGTGTCATCGACAAAATTATGAAATTCATGGACACCAACGGAGATGGAAAGATAGACATCAGGTTGGTCTATGTTTCAATCAATGCGGTGCAGTTTTTACAATGAAGTTTGCCGGCAACAGATCCCATGCGCTTTTGGTCTCTAGTCCTAGTTTTACGACATTTTCGTATTTTTGTGGCTGTAACGTTCTTCTATATCTTCGCTCTATATTAAAAAGCAATGGAGACTGTTTGACAGAAGTGAAAAGGAGGATGGCCATAGCAATGCAAAGGTTAAACAACCTAAAAAGTCTATGGTTAAGCACTAGCAAGGAGATCAAAATTATAATTTTGAGAGCATGCATCTTCCCTGTAGCAACATACGGATGTGAGTCGTGGACCATCTTCCAGACCTTGAGAAAGAGAATAGGGGCTTTTGAGCTAAAATGCTATAGAAAGATTATCAGAATATCTTACACGGAAAAGAAGAGAAACACTGAAATCTTGAAAGATCTGAACATCAAGGAAGATTGGCTAATAAACAGCATGCTGTCTTGGAAACTAAAATATTGTGGTCATATCAAGCGCCACGACGGATTGGAAAAAAATATAGCAGAAGGCATGGTACCAGGAAGAAAGGGCAGGGGCCGACCAACACGAAGATGGGCACAGGATATATGTGACTGAGTATAAAAGAACATGAGGCGGAAAAGCTAGCGAGAGACCGAGTTTCTTTCAGGCAGACCGTGATGAAAGCGACGTTCTGCAAAGGACCTGCTACATGAAGATGAATGTTCTACTTACAAGTCATCAAAGATCAACAAATAAAGTGGTTTGGACACCTAACAAGAATGCCTTGGCCCCACAGTCAGCCACATTGAAAGGTTGCAATGGGTATAGAGCAAGTGGAAGATCTTGGAAAAAATGAAGTGATGCCATTAGGAACAGCCTTGCAGAAATGAAAATCAGTCATAATAATGCTCTTGACAGAGCTAATCAACGATTGCTACATCTCCCACCGACACTTCGATGAGGTACAAGGTTAAAGAGAAGAAGAAGAAGAAGAAGAAGAAGAAGAAGAAGAAGAAGAAGAAGAAGAAGAAGAAGAAGAAGAAGAAGAAGAAGAAGAAGAAGAAGAAGAAGAAGAAGAAGAAGAAGAAGAAGAAGAAGAAGAAGAAGAAGAAGAAGAAGAAGAAGAAGAAGAAGAAGAAGAAGAAGAAGAAGAAGAAGAAGAAGAAGAAGAAGAAGAAGAAGAAGAAGAAGAAGAAGAAGAAGAAGAAGAAGAAGAAGAAGAAGAAGAAGAAAAAGAAGAAGAAGGAGACAAAGAAAAAGAAGAAGAAGAAGAAGAAGAAGAAGAAGAAGAAGGCACGGACAAGGGAGACAGAGACAATACGAAGCAGCAGCAGGAAACGATGGAAAAGAAGAAGTAGACAGCCCCGGCTGCGTAGCGGCTAGATGTTCGCCAGTTTGTCTCAGTGTATAAGGTTCAAATCCGCATCGTAGCAGATGTATTTCAGAATTGGCCAAGGCTCCTAAGCCGATATAACCTTCACTGGGTGTCCGGTTTTTCCACTTGAAGTACAGGTGGCTAGCGTGATTTTAACATCACCCACCTAGTGCTGATCGGTTTATAAAAATATGATTGTGGTATCATATGGCGACCACAAATGACGTCTCGGTACAGTCGAATGTTTTAGAGGGTTGTGAGAGCAGGTTTTCTATGTTTTCTGTGCTTTAGCGCGTTTCTTCCAAAGCCAAGGTTTTCGTGCCTTAATCTGACCGTAACCCTAACCTAACCAAAGCTATACGCTTAATCTACTACACTCTGAAATATTTGGCTGTCCCGTGATCTGCGGATTTCACCTGTTTGTGGTCAGTTAATAAGAAAATACCTGCCAATTTTATTTCTGGAATTAGGATGTGCCGGAATTATGTTTTTGCATTTAAACCCTTTACAATCTGCCAGATGTTCAGTTCAGGCCTGTATAGACTTGATCTTTATAGAGGAGACGAATTATGAGAATATTCTGGATAGAGTAACAAGAGTAATGAAGATGCCTTTAAAACCTCAAGAAGAGATTTGATCGGGTACAACAGAATGAGTCTATATTCTTTGAACATGCCATAGAAGGAGACAGCTGAAGCTCGTTATGACAATAGCAAGATTGTAAAAAAAAAAAAGGGGGGGGGGGGGACAGAGGAAGACCTAGTGGCAAGATGCTGGGTAGTTGTACATCATGGCATGGAGTAGCATCCGTCTCGAAAATAACAGAACATACAGGAGACAAAAGATTGTGAATAGACATGACAGCAACGCCACACGACATAGACGTTAGGAATAAGGCTTGCTCGCTCACTGTTTCCTTGTACCGAGTTATGCAATGTAGTATTGAAAAGGCTGTTAGATCTTATTGCATGTTCACGACATAATTTATTCCGTGATTTTTCTTTAATAAAAGCAGATACGTTTGATCTTAATTGACCTTTGCTCCCAGATTGATCCGGCCTTACAATAGAGCTAGAAAATATTCTGGGAATTAAAAGCGGTAGATTTTGCTGCTGATCACATCATTAACTGCGTACCAGTTGCTCCTTAATAAAAATCACTATAGTACAGGGGCGAGGCGTGATCAAACAGCATGTGTGAGCGTTAGCAGTTTATTGTACGAATACAGAGTGTATAATGTGATGTTGTCCTTGTCCTCGATTCGCTGTTTAGAATTTGCGTGCACAGTTAGCATTATATGTATTAGTAACTGGTAGCTTTCACATGTTACAGCCAGTTTCGGAATTAGTGGCATAAACGTGCAGCGAATGTTATTTTTTCTGTGTACGAGGCATAAACCAATTAAAATAAATAAAGAAGTAAGTAAAGTAAAAACTAAAGATCCCTTTTCACGCCTTTAGGCGCATCAGGCATATGTGAAGAGCTCCAATAATGTTACGGACCAATCGGCACTAGGTGGGTCAGTATTACGCCGGCCGTCTTTACGTCCCTAGGACATACATCCTGGTATCCATTTTAGGCTTGGTGGACCTGCGACGTCCCATACCATGTTAAAAATCCACGCAGCCAGCAGTGGGTTTCGATCGCAGTACGTTGGAATTACGAGTCGGACTTGCAACGCCTAAGCCACGAACGCTGCAATAAAACAGTAAATAATAAAAGTAAATAGTAAAATGCTTTTTTTTTTTTTTCACTGTGGAAAGTGCAAGCGGTGACTTACAGATATTAGATGCACGCTTCGCAATTTGTCTAGCAATATTTGTCTGATGCAGTGCTGAAGTTAAAGAGGTCTTTTACAAAATTTGCCTATTTATTTACTATTGCCGAATGTTCTGAATTGAATTTTCAGTGAGTTTCTGTTGGGCGACAAAAGAATCAAAAACATCTCCCGTAAACAAATCAAGGATGAACAAGAAAGAAGAAGCAATGATGTTAGCTACAACAAGTACTCCAGAACATTCCAGAAAGCTCATATTGATCCAATCACAAATGCTCTCAAGGTCAGAACACTTTATATCTGTAATATTTATATCTTTGGCATTATTTATTAAAGTAGTTACGTATTAATTTATATCTATCTTTATAGTCTTCCTTTTCTTGGACTTCTAGTAATTCCCTCTCGACTCTGGGTAGTGAAATCTGACACCCGTGTGTATTGTTACGCACGTATAAATTCCCTTGGCAGTTAAAATGGAAAAGAGTAGCCTAACGGCGCTGCCTGTGCAAAAATTTGAAGTTAAACATCTACCCAAAGTATTTCAGGATCCTCGCCGGTGCTACAGAACTTTGCACTGTGCTGATCTTTTTCGGACTCACACTTGAGTTAGAAGAAAAAAAAAGACCACTTATGGATTATTACCCGTGTGCGATGATGTTGATCCTTGCTCAAACATCGCATCTTCTTCTGCCTTTACAAACCCAATTGGAGCATAATCGCTGAACCAACTCACCCCAAGTCGTTCTATTTGTCGCTAACGCATGCACTTCTCTCTATGTCTTGCCTATCTTTTTAACTTTACTCTCTAGCTTCTCCATGTGTTTTGTGAAACGTCTTCTAGTAAAGCATCACCTCTTGGAAGGCCGTGTTCTTCCTTTTTCCTCTTTTTGACTTGTCTATGGTTGGTTGGTTTGTGTGGCTAGTGTTTTCACAGGATGAGGTAGCCAATATCTATCCCAACCCTACCCTGACTATATGCCTGACAGGGAGCAGTGTTACTATTCTTTGCTTTCCATGAAGGTCCCGGTGACACACAGGTATAAATAATAAATTTAAAAAAAATGTCATTATATTATCCCTAAAATTCTGCCTGTATCTACTTCTATTTTTTTTTTTTTTTTTTTTTTTTTGGGTCCGGTTATCTGTCTATGAGTGTAATTTATTTATAGCTTTTATCTTCTGTACCCTACCTATCCTTACAAATGTTTAAATATTATAATGTCCTTTTTTCAGTAATTTCACACGAGTTACATTTTGTTTGCTGATGAAGTGCAATCGGCCGCAGTGTCATTTGTTTGTTTATCCTAATTGGTTCTCTTAAGCAAATATATATTTTATACTTCTCGGATTTTTTAAAAACTCTTGAGTAAGATTAAATGGGTAATGTTTATTTCTGACAACCATAATTTGCAGATGGAAGCAGTAAGCCAAGAGTTCTCTCTTAAAAGTGAAGTTGACACTTTGTATTAGTGGTTACAGCAAAGCTGCGATTTTTGCTGTTTTCTGCCCAACTCATCCAATTTTAGCAAACTCATAATTACTGGATTAAGTGAACATGGAGGAACTTAGATGACTACTAAATAAATTAGCACGAACCGGGCAGACCCATGTGCCATAATGTCTTTACAGACAACATGTAGCAAGTAACAGCTTCTGACGGGCCATGTCAGAGGAGACTTGGTTGTCATGTTGTTATCCATAACCTTTTGTCATGTGCCTCGTCGATCATTTCTGATACATTTATTCTTCCATGGAATGATGACAAACTGATCAAACTCGTCTCTGTCGATAATTCACTACCATTCCTGGCTTCCAACTTTCTTGTTGTCACAACGTACCCCAGGTTTCCCGTTCTCCCAACGTGCTCAATTTACTGATGCAGGTGCAATACTTATTCAAAGCCAGAATATGGCACCTATAATTTACTTCCACATAAGTGAGATGGCTTGGATAGGTGTGCAGAATGCGTCTTGACACTCTGTCAATGTCTTCGGTAAACGGCAGAAGGAAAGGAATCCGGAGACGGACAGTAGAATGGAAAATGGAGTGAAAACAGATATGGGATACAAAGTGCAGAAAAGCTGCGTGGCGGAGATCACCGGTGAATGTCTGAGGTGTCAACAGGGTCATGTGTGTATGTAGTCTATGCCGTCTTAGTCGTTCCTCTTGTGCATAGCTTGTACACAGAGGCAGAGGCCATAGCTCTTTATGTCTTGCGGTTCGTTGCCACCAGTTTTAGGTCTTTGCTGTTTTTCAGGCCCTTGGCTGTGCCTTCCCTGTTAATGGTTCTATGCAGTGTTTCTTACTGTCTTCCCCGTTTTCTTCTCCCTTCTGGTGTCCATATGAGGGTTTGATAGGGAGTCTTGTGTTATCCATTCTGAGTGCATGGTCGTCTCCACAATGAAGGTTGGGCTACAATGTACCCCTGTTGTCTCTGGGCAATGTTACCTGGTTAGGCCCCTCTCTTCCACAGCGTGACTCTTGTACCATTGTCCGAAAGGTTAAGGAGTGGTTTTAAAACCATCCAGCACAGAGAGCAATGTTATAGCAGATCCAGAGGTCAACCACGCAGAACATAAACAGCAGAAATATCAAAGACACTGAAAAGTACTTAAGTCTAAAGTATACGAACCGAAAAGCAAGACCTGTTTCAGAGATCTCTTCCTGCCTCGACACCTCGAGGCATTCCAGAAGTGGAGAAAAGAAGAGGAGGACAGCGGGAACCAACTACAGTACTCGATGATCGAACATCGGCAGCCAGGGGATGTAGATGTAAAAGATAATACTTAGCTCGCGACCCATTAAGTTATCCGGTTTTTTTCCTCTCTGCAGGTCGATCCTAGTCCGACCCCTATGAGGCAGTCCAGAAGACCATCTGTTATCCGTCTAGCCAGTGACCCTGACATGGAGGCTGTGCGCAAATTCAACATTCCGTTGTAGTCATCTATCCGTTATTAGGATGAATAACTAATGATTTAACACTCTGTTTAGGTCATCCAAATTTTAGAGTATAGTGTTGACTAAGCAATCATTGTTATATTATAGTCACCCCTCCAATAATAGGATTATATCTAAGGAATCAACATTGCATCGTTGTCATCTATTCATTATTAGGCGGTTGACTAAGAAAACAACATTTCGCTGTAGTCTCCAATCCATTTACTAGGGTGATAACTAAGAAAACAACATTCTGTTATTGTGGTCTATCAGTTACAAGGATTATGTCTAAGAAATTAACGTTCACTTTGGCCTCCTGTCTACACAGTACTAGGGTGCTAGTTAAAAAATCAACATTTTGTTTAGTCATCAATCCATTATTAGGACGACAGCTATGAAATTAATATTCCTTTGTAGTATTCTGTCAGTTGCTAGGACGAAGACTGAGAAATCAACAATCAATAGAGCAGCCGAGCCCCGAACAAGAACATCCTAAGAGAGACTAATTAAGGGATGCTTCCCTGGAAGTCGGAGTGAATCTACCTGAGATGCGAAGGACCCAGGCCATAAATATAGCCTAGCGGCTGAACGGGGTTTCCGGGACCTTTTGTGATCCTCATCCACGTGGTGGCACTTTGTGTCACCGGGTGTTTATCACATGTGTGATGTCTTGGTGGGGTACAACGAGAGAGAGAGAGAGAGAGAGAGAGAGAGAGAGAGAGAGAAAGAGAGAGAAAGAGAAAGAGAGAGAGAGAAAAGGAGAGAGAGAGAGAGAGAGAGAGAGAGAGAGAGACGAGAGAAGTCTCACACTCAAAGACCAAAGTCAAGAAGTGGACGACACACATGACTTTCCGCAGGAATTTACAACTTTCGAATGTGAAAAAGAAGCAGAATCTCTTGATGCAGCACGTCATCCGTATATTTAGCTGTCATGGCCTAGGGGTTTCTAAGTGTAATGGTGGTGGCTTACAAGAGCTCATCAATCACACAGTCACAACATTGTCCTTTTATAAAGAACACAAACTATGCCTGGGAAGTTCAGCAATTGGGTTAAGTGGAAAATAAACCCCACAAAATCAATCGAACGTTTCGGTCAAAGCCTTTATCGGCGTGTAGCAAGCCAAAATGGGGATAAATTCTAGACCCCAACCTCCACACAAGGGGGCCACGTTAATCATATTTTCCGAAATGAAATGGCTACCAACATTTTTAACACACACGCACGCATACACACACACACACACACGCACATACACACACAAACAGGTAAGTGTCAAGAAAGAAAACACATTCTTAGGACTGCTAAATAGTGGATTAACGACTTTACTGCATAAATGATGGCTCACAATAGCTTTGTGTATGTTTAATTCAATAGTAGCTATTGTATATGTGAATTAAGGTGCATACCCCTCAAATATTAAAGTCCCTTCTGTCCATACCCCTGTTCTGGAAGAGCAGACTAGGGAGATTTTAACCATAATGGGCAAGGGGAAAACTTGTAGCTAGGTCAGCAATATCAGAATTGACAGCTGCCTGATGTTAATATTTTCTCCACTTAATCAGTGATGATCATACTATCAGTTGATAACATGTGGCAAATAGTAATGTGGTTTCTCTTAATGGCACCCCACTCCAAGACGTGGAGTCTTACACATATTTAGGCAGTAATGTAGATAAAGATGGGGGAACTGATAGAGATATTAAAATGAGAATACAAAAGGCAGGAGGGGCTTTCATAGCACTATGAATAGCACTAGGGAATTTGTGGAGGTCAAAAGAAATTAAAAGAAATACTAAACTAAAAATTTTTAATTTTAATGTCAAATCAGTACTATTGTATGGGGCGGAAAAACATGGAGAACAACCAAGGCAATTACTAATAAATTACAGACATTCATTAACTGGTGCCTGCGCAGAATAGAGGGAATAAAATGGTATGATAGAATAACTAATGTAGAACTTTGGGAGAGAACTAAACAGGCTCCAGTGGACCAAGAGGTGAGGAAAAGACGCTGGCGTTGGATAGGGCACACACTGAGAAAACAGGAGGACAGCATAACTAGAATCTCTTTGCATTGGAACCCACAGGGGCATAGGAATAAAGGAAAAAAATACATGGAGAAGAGAGCTGGAGAATGAGGTTAGAAAGATTGGGAGGACATGGGGAGGGCTCCATGCAATGGCGAAGGATAGAACGACTTGGCGTGAGTTGGTTGAGGGCCTATGCTCCATTGGGGGATAGAAAGGCAGAAGAAGAAGAAGAAGTACTGCCGGCGTTTAATGTTGGGTGTGTAGTTGTAGGTTTAGTGTTGCCTAGCATGCAGTAGCATTATTTTCTTTGTGATTATCTCAGGTTTAAGAGAAACTTATAACTGTGTACTATGCAGCTGCACTGTTTTGTGTCCTTATATTATTCACTCAATAAAAGTAGTCTTTGAATCGATCGTTTGTCTAGTCATTAAATTAGCTTTTCATTGTTGCTTCAGTTTTAAATAGCATTAGTTTCAGTGTCTTTAGTAGAACATTCTGCCTGCCACTGCCTTGGTTTCCGTACCTGTTGTTGCCTCTTTCCTAGCAAGTTTTCACATTTTTCTTTATCGATACATAAATCGTGCATTACTTACAATCCGAAACAGTCATAACACTCACGCTATATAGTAGATTGTGTGACATTACAATTTGTGCCTTCCATGATTGCAATACGTAGGAATCACACTTCAAAGATGTGTATCAAATCGATAAGAATCTCAGTATGTCCCATTCAGCCATATCAATGCTCCAGACTGTTACGAAGTAACCTGGCATCAAACAGCACGTTCAGTTGTTTCTAATTGTGTTTTCCTAACTTCTTCTGCGTAAATTGTTCAGTGAATGCATCCACTTTTGTTAATATTAGCTCCAATGTAAAGACCCCTTCTGTCGTCACTTTCCAAATACTCGGAGGTCCCTTTTCGGTTGTCCATTTCATTGTATACAGTCTACTTTAAAACTATGACTCCGAGGCTTTAAGTCAGTTTGTGGGCTGCTTACACTCAATGACTTATGCATCCCGTTTGCAGTGGCAGATAGGGTCATAGGGTCTCTAATATAAAGAAAACATGTGATTGGGGTGGGGGGGGGAGCAAGCAGGGTGAGGGATCTTCCGTTTACAAAATTCCGGACTGGAAGAGGCGGGAGGGGGGGGGGGGGGGACACATTGGGATGTAAGGATCGCTTAAGTGCGTAAAAATGACTATGATTATTATAACAAATTCGAGCGGCCTGTTGGAAACGGGGGGGGGGGGGACTGGAGCCTGTCATGATAACCGATTTATGACAAAAGAGAACTGAAACCTGTCATGGCAACCGATTTATGAGAAAAGAAAACTGGAACCTGTCATGACAACCAATTTTTGAGAAAAGAGAATTATAACCTGTCATGACAGGTTATAGTTCCTTTTTCTCATAAATCGGTTGTCATGGCAGGTTCCGGTTCTTTTTTCTCATAAATCGTTTGTCATGACAGGTTATAATTCTCTTTTCTCAAAAATTGGTTGTCATGACAGGTTCCAGTTTTCTTTTCTCATAAATCGGTTGCCATGACAGGTTTCAGTTCTCTTTTGTCATAAATCGGTTATCATGACAGGCTCCAGTCGTCTTTTGTCATAAATCGGTTGTCGTGTCAGTTTCTATAATCGTTTGTCATGACAGGTTATAATTCTCTTTTCTCAAAAATTGGTTGTCATGACAGGTTCCAGTTTTCTTTTCTCATAAATCGGTTGCCATGACAGGTTTCAGTTCTCTTTTGTCAAAAATCGGTTATCATAACAGGCTCCAGTTGTTTTTTGTCATAAATCGGTTGTCATGACAGGTTCCAGTTCTCTTTCTCATAAATCGGTGTCATGACATCATGACAGGTTCGAGTTCTCTTTTGTCATAAATCGGTTGTCATGACATTATGACAGGTTCCAGTTCTCTTTTGTCATAAATCGGTTGTCATTACATCATGACAGGGTCGAGTTGTCTTTTGTCATAAATCGGTTGTCATCACAGGTTCTAGTTCTCTTTTGTCATAAATCGGTTGTCATGACAGGTTCCGGTTCTCTTTTGTCATAAATCGGTTGTCATGACAGGTTTCTGTTCTATTTTCTCATAGATCGGTTGTATTGATAGTTCATTGTTCTCTTTTCTCATAAATCGGTTGCCATGACAGCTTCCAGTTGTTTTCTTATAAATCAGTTGTCATGACAGGTTTCAGTTGTCTTTTCTTATAAATCAATTGTCATGACAGGTCTATGTTCTCTTTTCTCGTAGATCGGTTGTCATGACAGGTTTCTGTTCTCTTATCTCATAAATCGTTTGTCATGACAGGTTCTAGTTCTCTTTTGTCATAAATCGGTTGTCATGACAGGTTCCAGTTGTCTTTTGTCAAAAATCGGTTATCATGACAGGTTCTAGTTCTCTTTTTTCATAAATCGGTTGCTATGACAGGTTCCAGTTGTCTTTTGTCAAAAATCGGTTATCATGACAGGTTCCAGTTGTCTTTTGTCATAAAACGGTTATCATGACAGGTTCCAGTTCTCTCATAATTCTCATAAAAGGACTATTGTCTCCTTTTTTATGTTTGTCATTAATGTTTATTTAAAGTATTTTGGTCCTTAAATTACAATTAGTGAAATGTATTGCGGTAACACGAACAAGGATAAATTTTCGACTGTGTACACTCGTAAAATGTGTAAGAAACTTTGAACATGGACTTATGAGTGGATTCAGTCAGGAGGGGCGAAAGAGAATGACGTGAATACAATTAGTTTGCTAAGGGAACAGTTGGTATCTACACCTCATGATACCTACTGCGGGAGACAGTGCATCTATGAATTCGCCCTATGTGCTCCTGTGCTATTCCTAAATCAGTAATAAGTCCTCCCATGAACGACAGTGTTGACCATTGTTGACACGTTAATTTGATTGCAGTGTATCAGCCAAATATAATAAAAATCGAACCAGCGCAGGTGCGTCACCAC